ATGAATCCAACACCCGATCTTCCGACAAGTGGTTTACTAACACCACCTCTTCTTCTACGCCCAAATTTATCAATTGTGGTATGCATAGTTAGATTATCTGTGGATAACTGAGCCAGTTTCACACATCATGCTCATAATATTGCAGTCAATAGACTAGTCTTTCCTCACGTAATTCCTTAATTATGGGTAATATTTCATTATCGTGTGCGGTATGTCCAGCCAGTCGTGAACTCCAAAGTAATCAAAGGCGATCAATCAATTCTTCTAGTTCATTCCAATAAACATAATCTATATGGTTATTTCTAATTTTTTTTTTTTGAGTGGGTATTTTGATCATGCCAGCACCGTCTCTACTTGGGTTTGGTAGAGGATTTCCATTGGATAATAGTGGTAGAATTATTTCTCTATATTTCTTCCAATTATTCGATAGTAGACCTCATTGTATTTATATGCCGCCTTTGTTGATTTCAGTATATCACCATAAGTGGTCATCACGGAAAAGGGGATATTTCCCGATGGTACTTTCATGAATATCGATTTATATAGTTCTGGAGTGCCCTGATAAGTGGCAATAGTTTTACCATTTTTCTTGAACACAATTTCCTCATCGATGAATTCCACATCAGTAACACCCATTTGTAAATTTCCCATTTCAGTGTTCATGTGTACTCCGAAGAGTGTATCGTAAGAGGGATTGCCTGATAGTAACTTTTGTATGTGCTTTTGGATCTCATCACCATTATCAAATGCATCAGGTGATACTGAATCTGGAGCTGTCGATTGAAACGTTTGAAGATCCTTTGAAATAGCCGTTTCAAATGTTGGTTCCAACTCACTTTCAATTATAGTTTTGGTCGTGAATGGTGTATCACTCTTTGTTTTCTGCATCACTTGATTCATTGGAGTTGCTCCTGCAGTATTGGCAGATATGACTTTCAAAGGTGTTATTATTGGCTCATAGATCTTTTCGAGTGCTGATTGATCACCTAGGTGACTATTCTTAATATTATTGAATTTCTTTCAAACGGCATCCGTCGCTTCAAATAACTTACTCTTTGAACATACTTCATCATCGTTTTTACCCTCCATAATGTATTCACTACAAGAATGTGTATGATGAAGTGTTATCTACACTATCTAGCAGTCAAATGATTCAATTGTTCCAAGAACGTCAAGGATTTATGAAAGCATCGAATCCTTTTCGATAACGTCCATTTACCACTTCTCGATCCTTATCAATTACTAAAAATTCATATTTATCTTCCCAACATCTCGCACACATATCTTGAAATTGCTTATATGTTACATCTGGTGATACATGGTCGGAAAAAATATGATTGAGATTCATATCATCTTGTTTGAACATTACGATAAAATTTGCATTATCTCGTATCAATTGTTTCGGAACTCGTGAATATGTTTGGGCTAAATAGAAACAATCCACATTTTTATGACGACCCATACTGAAATATGATCGTATAACATCCTGTTTCTCGCACATAACATCATCAAAAATGAATATCGAATCAGGTTTGGCGTCTGAAGGCTCTACTATTTCACCTGCATTATTGGCAAAAGTGTTAAATCCCAACCCCTTAATTGGAGCTAATACTTTACGTAAATACTCATATTTGGGTTGCTAAAGAGACTTTTAATAAAGATAAATATTTGCAAATCGTAATCCTAGAGGATGAGTCAGCAGAGAAATTATAACATTTGTCTTGCCACATTTAGAAGGTCCAATTATCAGATCGCGAATGGATAATGGAAGTAAAGATCCATGACGCTGTTTGATATCGCTTCCCGATCCACCACCCACTTTTTCATCGAAATTATCGATGAGAAATTGCTGCTTCAATATATGCATTGTATGACAGTTGGAGACTATATAATTCCTTTATTCAAATGAGATGATGCAGAAAGTGCTTAGAATCGATTCAAAGCAAAAGACGCTTCTAATGGGGAAAAAGGAGCTGCTTGTCTAATTACGAATATAATGAAGGGAAAACGTCGATTTGGTTATGAGTCACCATCCAAGCAGTCACGCATACAGAAGAAAAAACGTCCTATTAAGAAAAAAAAAGTTTAAAAAGTATTGAAAGATTGTAAGGTAATAGCTTTTGGTTCTGGAATCGTTAAGAAAGTGCATGACGTTTTACACAAAGCTGGAGGAAATGAATTAGTTGTCAAAAATTCTAAAAGAACAGCTGAAATTGCACTGAAAGCAGCACGCAAATATACTAGGGCTGCAGGCGGGAAAAACAAAATTCGCACACCGCGAATCATACCGATTCCTAAAATTGGTGGAATACTACTACTCATTCCAATTTTTGCCGATTTATCAGCGATAGGTAGTTCAGCCGGTGCTACTGCAGGCATAACGAAAGCAGTTCAAGCAGCTAGAGCGAGTAGGGAGCAGTTGAGTGAGGCAAATCGACATAATGAATATATGGAGGCAATTGCTTTAGGTAAACAAGGAAGGTAAGGAAGCCTTACCGTAAAGGATTAGGACTCTATTTGAAACCTCAAAATCCAAAAAACTCATAAATTTGCTACCTCAAAGAGCTCTCTCCAACATTGACCTCAACTATCGCGCTTATAAAATGATAATTCAATATTTTCAGGGGGTATATATGCGTGACGATTTGCCAAAATCAGGATCACTCCGATTTGAATCTTCCATAGTAAATTTGGATAGTCGACATGGTCAAGGGACACATTGGGTAGCATATAGAAAAAGGGGAACTTCGATAAAATATTTTGATAGTTTTGGTGATTTACCCCCTCCAAAAGAATTGATTCACTATTTTCATATGGGTTCAAAGCCTATCAATACTATCACATATAACTATGAGCGTGAACAACAATTCAACACAGTATGGTGCGGTCATTTGTGTTTGAAGTTTCTTTCATGAGTCTTTCATTGATCACATATTCCAGAGTACGCACTTCACGAAAAATGAGTGAAGAATAACTCGCTCATATGCCTAAAGAGGTATTGATTGGGTGTGCATCACATAAAATTGCATCTGTATGGGATAAGTTACCGCAAAACCTACAAAATGATATTTATGTCTTGAAGTATCAGTACTGCCAAGACCATTAAAATGATTCCACCGGCAACAGTAGTAATTTCGATATGAATGATGGCCCACCTACAAAAAAAATTTCTGTTGTTATTGTAGAGTGAATGATGTGAATGTAGTCACACATAATGAGACGGATAGACCACCCAAAAAGCGACGTTTACTCAACAATTTCTGCTGTCAGCAATAAAAAGACGTGAAACAGTGAAAATTCATCAGTCATGTCACGTACTTTTTCATTGTCGGGATGCTCTAGCGAGTTGAGCGCAAACTTCTACTCACCCATCGAGTTAGATACCGGTGTTAATCATGGTTTGGGATTACACGGTTTCTATTCCTACAACTCCATATTCAATGTAGATGTGACCAATAATGTTGATCGCTATTCCAAAGAAGCTAACTCACCCCTGACCATTATAAAAATTACACCTGGGGCATATGAAATTGATGAAATCAATAAGGTGATTCAAAAATCGATCAAATTCAAACAACAATACTCTGAAATGTGAAATGCGGTCTAAATATTACATCCATCTCAAACATGAAAACACTATTGCTGAACTTTTAGGATTCGAAGCCGATGTATTCAGCATCGATGAAACTCATGAACAACATTGCCAGTGAACATCAATAAGGTGTGGATTGTAATGTCACACCTGGAGCATATTCAAATGGTGATGAAATCCATAGCATCTTTGAATTTGATATTGATGTAAAGCCCAGTTACAAACTCGCCAAGGAACCGCAAAATATTATTTATATGCCAATCCAACTTGGCGGTCGTCAGTATCTCGACAATATCACTCTACGCAAATTGGATGATAATGGTAATCTGATCAATTCCAATGGTGAAAAAATAATAGTTAAATTGAAATTGATGAAGCTATAATAATCATGATTCCTTATATATTGATTCACAATATCGACGACTGTCCTTGGTGTATCATAAAAAATGGGTAAAAATTTCTGTACGTTAGTGACTTATGGAGGAGCATAAACTGCAAATGATGGAGAATCGTCAACCTCAAAGAGGCGAAGGTTGAACCCCCCAATACCTCTAGCAATGCAGACATGCCAGTGTTGCAATTTCACTATTGCATGCGGTCAAGTGAATGTATATCGGAGAACCTTGCAGCATAGAACGAATGCATGTGTTCAATATGGAAAGGGTGTCAAAATTGTAGGCACAGTTTTCAAGTGTAGAATCGTGAGCTACAGAGTGGATAGTGAATAGTCAGATTGATCACTCCATATTCTACATGGAATTCAATCAGAAAGTATTGAAACTATTCGAAGAAGTGTTATTGATTCATGAAATTGTGAAAATTCATATGGAGGTGTTTGGGCGGTACAATATACAAACTGAAGAGCATTCCGATATACAATAGTTCCAATCAAGTTGTTGAACAATCGAACGATTTGACTGTGGTATATAATACTTTTGCTGACAGTTTGACTGCTCAGGCTATGAAATTTCAATATCGAGATTCAGGTATATGATCTATTCACAACATGATTGATTGAATCTGTAAAAAAACTATATATTTTCAGGTTGGACAATCGAGAAAATTTTGAATATGGTGGTGGATGTTGATAAGTATGCCTCCCACAGGGTCTTCTTATATCAAACTTCCGAAGTTGAACGAGTCCAAAATAAAGTGTAGTGAATATGGTGAATCAGATCCAGTACTGCTTTACGTGGGCTGTGACTTCAGCTTTGTATCCTGCCAATGCGAGAGTCTCTGAAAATTTGTTATACTTTCACTTCTCGACCGTATTGAATGAATCAGGTATATATTCTCAGGTTGAGTTGAAAGATATTCCTGAATTTGAGGTTATGAACGATTGCTCTATCAATGTTTATGGGTTGGAAAAACGTTTAAAAATGGCAAAATTAAATATGGAGTTGCACCATTACACCCACAGAAACGTAGGTTTAGTCACATGAATCTGTTGAATATCACAGATTAATCTGGCATTTGTTTGATTAAGGATTCATCGAGACTCGTTTCATTCCAAATAACTACACAAAAATATTTTTTGTGATGGTTGTTTATTTATTGTGATTTATGATGAGCAAGCTTCATTGCGACATTAGTTGAATGATTATAATCACCTTTCAACAATAATATCAAACCCAAATTTCAGAATTGACAAATTTGGTAAATATGTCCTCATTTTGAAATTTGAGGCACATGCAAATGAACCAAATAATGTTCACTTTTCCAAAAACAAAACTTGTCTTCATGAACCATATGCTTCCACCTATTCCATAATTCAGTTTGTATTTGTTCCAAACTTGGAGGCCAGCGTAACCAATATCTATCACACATAATTGAAAACTGTCATTATGATGATTCTTTCGACTGCTGAGGAAGAGCATTGCTTCAATATTGTCACCACGTGTGGTATATTTATGAAAATATTGGATGAGGGCGATAATGAAGAACGTGACTACTGCCATCTAATGAAAAAAACGAAGCTACACATAGCATTCGTAATGTCAACTTCAGAATGCCCAAATTCATTCCCATGACTATCATTTATTTATACAGGAGTACCAATGAAATAAAGTTGATGTCATCGCTCAAACTGAATAGAGTAATGTGTTTCTTTTCCGAAACTTATATTCATTGAAAACGAATTATGTCCAGATGGGCAAGTGAAAAAAATATTAAAAATTGAGATTTATTGATAGTTTCATATTTATGACTGAATCACTGCGAGAGTTGGGCGATAATTAGGATAAAAAATATTTTGTAGAAACGAGAAAACATTTCTCAGCAAATGATTCCAGGTAATGAGGCAGAAAGGTGTTTTTCAAACAACTTCATTGATTTTTTGGATAAATTGACTTCTCTAGGTATAGCATTGAGGTAGACTTTTATGATAAATTGAATTAGGAGCACATTTCTGATGATGGAGTTAGGAAAGTATCTGACATATTCAGCTGTCGTGATTCAGGCAAATATTCTGATATATACCTGAAATCTGACGTTCTGTTGCTGAGTCATATTTTCGAAAATTTTAGTTTGAGCAATTATAAATTAGACCCTGTTCATCATTTCACATCTCCATGTCTAACTGGATTGCTATGTTAAATTATACAGGTGTCGATTTAGAATTATTTTCTGATATCGATATCAAATATTCAAATATTCTGATATCAAATTGGTATATACTTGTAATGCACTGTTTGGAATATTTGATATAGTAATGAATATTACTGGATAAAACTGGAGTAATATTGAAATTGGTGTATGTTAAATTTGAAACAAGCGGTCCGTAATGGTTTAATGGTGATGAAAAATTGGAATTTGAAACAAGCGGTCCGTAATGGTTTAATGGTGATGAAAAATTGGAATTTGAAACAAGCGGTCCGTAATGGTTCGATGTTGATGAGGATTCACATAGTTCTCATCAACATCATGGTTGGAAAATTATATCGATTTGAATACAAATCTGGGAAATAATGCTACGAATAAAATTGAAAATATCTATTGCAAACTGAACGTAAATTCTGTATATGGCAAGACAATGGAAAATGTTAACAACATAAGGAATATTCAAATTGTTACACAATGAGAATCTACAAGAAGATATATGGATGTCAATGCTCGTATAGCTTGTCCTTATTTCAAAATTATCAATATTTTCTGAAGACTTTGTCGCAATATATATGGATATGTCGAAAACTGTCATATACTACAATTTTTTTAAGTTCGCGAAAAGCATTACGTATATTAAGCTTCTCAGATGCTAAATTCAATGTGCTAGTAAGGAAGTGGGTGATTGGAAATATGATGGATGAACCCTCGAATCATTCCATCATTAGTGTTCAAGGTCCATGTACCAAATCATCATTTCCAAAGAATATCAGATGGAATAAAGAAAGCAGAATCTATCAAAAAGGTACACCTGAAGGACGACTCCTTTTTTTCGTTTCAATAATTTTTATCAAAAAAACCTGAATCAGCATAAAGAGGAAACTTTTAATAGTTTGTTATAGCAAGTGTTTAAATTTTTCTAAATGAATATCATTGTTGTTTCTTGTGCCGTGAGTGTAAATATGTTTGTTTTGTCTAACTGATTGAAAATTCAAATTGACGACATGGCTTATCAGCTTATGAAAATAAATTCTAGTGTTTGCAAGAATTCAATTTTTCCAAACTTTTCTACTTGAGATCAAATATTAGACTGATAAATACGAAGTTCGTTGTCTGGAGCATAGTAAATATCCACTCGATACTGGTTAACAAAATTGAATTTTTAGGTTGAGAAGGTTAAATGACATTCATTCGGGAAATGGCACAATTCGTCAATATGAGAGAAAAAATCAGTTCGGGGTTCGATTATCATGAAATGTACATTTTTCCATTTCAAATTCTGATGTAGAATGAAGATCAGTTGGCTCATAAGATGGTTATAATAATGAGAGTCTTACCTCCAATATTACCTCATTTCCAAAATAACATACGATAAAAATCTCCATCAGCATGCAGTACTGGTAGAGTATCAGAGAAAACAACTTCACACTGGGAAACGAAACCTAAAAAAAAGTATAAAGTCAAATATATTAATGAATGTAAACTCCACTTTGATCAAATCAGATGAATTGGAACCTCTGGCATACGATTGATTTATTTAAACACATTTTACATAACAGAACAAAAATACAGTCTCTCGACTCTCGATTCCTCAACAACTAAGTTAGAGCTTTTGATTATATAACGCGGCTTCTGTACACATTGATTTTCTTCACTGGAGTGAAGATGGTTGGGTTGGCGCGAGTGGTTTGTTTCACTCAGTCAATCGACCACTGTGAGAGCCGGTGGTTCAAGCCCAGAGACCGGACCATCGATTTTCACTGTCTATTGTCCAACATGTGCTAAAAACCATACGGTGGAATGTTAGACGTCGATAATCCTTAGCTTGACTTCGGAGGGTTGGAGTTCCTGTGAAAAGTGACAGCTGGTTAACGAAAGAATATATTCAATCAGGTTTTTCAATTCGGTCGAAGAAAGTATGTTCAGGGTTCAATAAGAAGAAAGGAAGGTTGGATTGACTATCGCCAGCATAATAATCTACGTCACACATTTTCAATGTGACATTCTGAAATTTCATTATTTGCTTTAACTGTGAGCTTCAAAAGTGAGATATCAGGTTGTAATTCATTGATGATATGTACTCAATATCGGAGTGTTGATACCAATGCTCACATATGCACATAATTTCAGTATTTTAACTTTTTACAATGACTTTCAATTCGGTCAATTTGTTATTCAAACATTAAATATTCACGTGGAAAATGTTAACATTTGAAATAAATTCAGATTATATGGTAGTTTTATATCTATCCAGTTGAAACGACTTGATGATTTTTTTTATCGAAACTTACTTTTATGCTGCCTAATGGAGTTAGTGAACTTCTTTCACACGCATCTTCAGTATTGTTATTTTCTATCAGATTTTTTTCCAGATTCACAGACTATCTTTATACTTGCTGTGCCGTTTCCCTTTTCCACAAAAAACGTGGTACCAGAGCACCGCTTAGTCATATCTCCGGTTTCCATGCCCTACTGAATTGTCTTGCTTTATATATAGTCACTTTCACAGCTCGGGTAGTTTGGACTGGTGCTCTTCACAGACAACCTCTGGAAAGTGTTTCACTATAACCTTTTTCAAATCATCCTAGTTTGTATTTGATTGAGCCGTGTGACATGAAGTGAGACCTTTTTGGATACTGTTATGATGCCTGGAGTATCTTCATTGCTACCGATCATGTATCTTCTTTTATTCCTTAAGTTTTTCTTGTGTGAAACTTTTTCCATTTTTCATCATCTACTAGGGTGTTTAACTCCTGTATATTGTGCATTTTATTGGCAGATTTTGCTGTCAAGATTGCTGCATTTACTTCTTTATCGGTGAAAATTTTTGGTGAATTATTTGCCACATTTCTGTTATTAACTATGAGGTATTCCCGACGATGATTCATTTGATTCTGGAATCATTTGAAAGTTTTTTATTTGTATTTGGCTTTTTCAGAATTTGCGTTTTTACTTGTATTGTCCTTTTTTGCTTCATACCCATTCAGTTTTTCTGTTAGGATAACGATTTTATCTTTCAACAAACAGAAGTTTTTGCTGAGAATATCGCACTTGAATTCTATTTCATGCAATAACTTACGCAGGAGTTTATGTTCCACTGCATATGGATTTATTTCCGGATCAGCTCAAGAGATCTCTTTTTCACTTCATCTTCATGTGGTAAAAGGCTATTTGCACACACACCGATTTTGGATGGCCAGTATAAAATCGACCGATATGTTATGGGTAGCGGGTGCTTGCAGACTCACCGGATTTTTATCGGTCGTTTTTATCGGTCGTAATTAGCACGCACTACCAAAAGTAAGTTAATACGTGATAACTACAATTCCACCGAGCAGTCGAGACTGGAATGGTCGGTAAAAAATCGATGAGTATGCAAGAGTGTATTTAGGTCACGTACGCCACTACTTCCCGGTACTGCCGGCGATACAGTGACAGTGGACGGCTTCCCACCGGTATTTTACCGGCGATGATCGCCGGTCGGCGTCTGTGCCAGGTCCCGTTCCCACATGTGGTTCACTATTGGAATTTGGACGACCGGTATAAAATCGGCCGTCCAAAATTGGTGTGTGTGCAATTAGCCTAAACATTTCATTTTATGTCGACAACATTGATTTTTTGTTTGGGCTGCTCATAGCATACAAGGATGGAAGATTTCCATGCATCAGTAACACTTCACTGAATTTATAATTGTTTTTTACAGTATTTACACTCGTTCGAAGAACTTCATCTATTTCAGAAAGAAGTATCACCATTTTTTAATTTTTCATTTTAATCTTATTGACCTCATGATTTCCATGGTTAACTTTTCTTTATCTGCTAGTTGTCTCATTAAAAGTAGTATTTGACATTTCACTGCTACATTCATTGAACTGAAAGTTGTGGTGAAGGTTTCGTGTTGAAATTATTTGCAAACCAGAATATCACTTCTTGTGTAGGCTATGAAGTTACTTACCAAAGTCATTTCAAATAGAGTTGTACATATAATTATTACGCTGACTGCAAATTGGCCCAGTATACTTGTCGTGAATAAGAAATACACTTCGTTGGAGAATCTGAAACAAATTGAAATTATTCATAAACATATATATTTAAAACATTTTACTGGAGTTTCATCCCAACACCAAACCGTTATTTTCAACACCTCGTCAGTCACGTGTTTCGATCACCAAGTGATAATCTTCAAGAGGAAGATTGAACAGTTGGATCTTCCACTTGAAGATGGTCACTTGGTGATCGACGAAACACGTGTCGAGGTGTTGGGACGAAACTCTAGAAAGATACATTACTACACCAAACGTTCCAAACAGTGCATTACAAGTAGGATTTGAAACTTTATAACTTCTATTTATTATATGCGAGCCCTTTCGATATCTGTCTGTGCTATCATCTTCATATGTATAAATAATTCCATGAAAATCAGAAGATAAATAGATAAATACTAATATGGAAAGCCTCTCTGAAATGCCATCCAACACCGAATACACCTTATGCCCAACAGGCTGAGACAGCTGTCTAACGATGGCTCTTAAATTGAAATCAGATTATGAATATTTATCTTTTCATTTTCATGAAATTATTTTTAGCAGCTTAACTGCATTAACCTTTTTTAATATTGATTCTAGAAATTGGTGTATTCGATTTTCGATGGCATTTCAGGAGAGCTTCCTAGATTCATGCCTAGATTCATCTCCTAAAGGAGATGTCGATATAAATATCGGCAGATGCAGACCAAGACTCGCTGAACACACACTCGCTTATTGACGATACCTCCGGACATTAGCATAGGACAGGCCTGACAGTTTCATCTTCCTGTTCACACATCCTGCATAGAGGTTTGTCCACTAGCCCCATATTATGGAGGTGTTTCCTTAGTTTACAGTAGCCAGTGAAAAATCCTACTGTTAGGCGTAGATTTTTCCTGGTCACCGCCAGATATTTCTCCGGCGCCAGCTTCCCAGGGTCGCCCAAGGTGATCCTGGCAAAATTGCATCCTTTGATTGCATCCCATTTCTTTAGGGATTGAACATGGGTGTGACGTTTGGCTAGTTCCGCAATTGTCGAAGTCATCAAGCCGTAGGTGCCACTGGGTCCTTAAATTCTTAGTCCAGCCGCTTTCTCAGCTGAAGAGTCGGCAATGCGATTACCTATACTTCTGTCGTGCCGTTTAACCCACCTCAGGATAATGTTATTACCTACCGAGGCTTTGGCAAAATCTTGGTGGCACTCTAGTACTAGCCTTGAGGCAACACGTTGTCTGTTCAATGCTAATAGGGCTTGTTTGCTATCAGTGCAGATTGTTATGTTTTTGCCAGAAATTCCTTTCCTGGTTATTTATTTTGTGTCGATCGAGATATGAGCCAGTTCTGTTTGTGCCAACACAGTTGTCGTGGTTGGTCAAATCACTAACGTGCAAGCTTGCAAACAAACTTGGATGACCCACGAATAAGTAGTTCCCTACGTATACTGAATTGTGAATAATTAGTTGAAATGAGACAGATATGGGATATTTTACAAATTAACATTCCTAAATATATATAACATCAATGGCCAAATGACCTCAGAAATTTTAGGACTCAGTATTTGTTTCTTTACGAAGTCAAACACGTTACATTGTCAATTCTTATTTTCAATTTTTGTTGTAATGAAAAAAAATTATTTCGAAGCGTAACAATGAAAAATTGTGAAGTATTCGTGGATAGCTTGTCTTTGAAACATTTGGTCTATTTTGAGCGGTCCTGTGCATCGTCGTGCTTGAAAAATTGCGCGTGTTTGGAAGAACACAATAGCCTATAATTCATTATATCATTAGAGAAATTATTCGAATCACTTCTCTTCTCTAATATCAATTTAGTGACCTTCAATCAACTCAATGATCAGGAACATTTTTCTAGGAGAATCAACTTGAGAGGAACCAGAACACTGAAATAAAATCAATATCAAGTGGATTTGAAGTTGACAGAGAGAGAAGTCCACTTTTCTGGTGTTCAGCTGAGCAAAAAAGTTGATAAGATCCGACTAACAGAATAATCTGTTTTGCGAAATTGATGATCGTAAATGGAAAACTGCCATAGAATGAATGAAATAGGTTTTAAATTGTTGAGATGAAAACTATTACCAGTGAAAACGGTCTTATTCCAAACAACCCATTGTTCACCTTCATATGGAAAAATATTTAAAAATCACCGGAAAGTCTCACGACAAAATTTATTGCCAATTTCTACCCAAAATCAGGTGTGACAGAGAATGAAAGTGAATATGCACCCTGTTAGATATAAGTAGAGGCCAGATTAAAAGTATTGAATTATTTTAATTCATCTCTGGAAGACGCCAACTTGGTTAGTGAAGCCCACGTTGAGAAGAGTTTTGCAGTTCTAGAGTTTAGAAATAGTGCTAGTTCCGGAAATTATATAAATTTCAATGAACTATTTTTGGATAAAAAACTCGCTTACTTGTTATATACTTTTCAGGTACAAACAGGTGACCAACCCTTATAGGTACCCTTATCGGTTATATGATGAATTTTTCCGAAAAAAATTAATTTTATCACTTACCCAACAAAATAATGGTGTATGAGTAAAACTAGGTCACATTCATAGTTGCTTAAATTATAGATATTGAATTTTTTGAATGTTGAGGATGAACTTATTCAGTTGAACGAAATTGAAAGAAAGCGACGTAAAACTGGATTAGATTTTCATATCAGAATAGGTTTTAATATTGAAAACGATATATTTTTAGAAGAATTGGAAAACCTAAACTTTCCTAAAACATTATTCTTATTAATCAATAATCAGAAGTTTCACCTGTGAATGCGAGAGTAGCAAGAAGAAAATTATCGGAAGTCGATCGGTCCGATTCATATTGTTTAAATAATTTACGGTAATTCCGTATAGTTTCACGGTGAAAGGTGAAAATAAGTATAGCGTGCTTTGATACGTTATTCATTGGGTTGAGGGTGGTGTTTTTCCCATTTCCTCCTTTCCTTCCTAAAGCCATTTCCAGCACCATCAGAAATCGAGAATACAAATTACGGACTAGTGAAGGTAAGAACTTTCTTCATACTTCTTACAGAACATTATCGGGATGTTCTAGAAAGTGAAACGGACAGTATTAGTGAAAAAATTTAATATAACTGTTATTATTTTATATGCTTCGAGGAGCGCGCTTACACGATCGCTCAAATATAGGAAACCATTACTTTGACAAATTTGTGCTACTAGAAGCGATCAAAATAATCTCTCTCTCTCTCTCTATTTTAAATGGTCGTTGCTTCCTATCTTCAGGCGCATATGACCAATGCTCCTCCTGTTGGTTAACAGGAGCTTCGTCGGGGAGCGCAGCGGTCTTGCACAAAGCAATGCTGCCACCCATTTTTTTCTAACTTTATATATAAAAAACTCTAGTTTTTTTTAACATAAAAACAATTTCATTTTTTGAAGTCGCCTTCTACTTGGGAGACCTTTTGGTAATTTTTCACATATATAACCCCCTTTACGTGGTTATCGGAACCACCCCGGCCTGGATACCGGCGTGAGTAAAGGGGGCCACTTATTCATCACTTTTTCAGACACTCCACATTTCAATTTTAATACAAGACAACACAAAACGGAGCCTCACGATAGCACATGGCATCCGCCATGTGCTTTGAGGACGGACGTTATCAGCACGTCCGTCCACTACCACGGCCACCACGGAACTCCCGATCAAAATAATCTTTCATTGATAAAAATTGATTGATTGAATAATGAGGAAGTATTCATACCTGTCATACCCATTCTATTCGAATACATTTTGCTGATATTCGAGATTTTTGGGTTGACTCACGGTTATAGAGCGTTGGGCGCTGTCAACTGAAGTTTCAATAATTCCTTTTTTTGTCCTGCCAGATACCTGTCTGTGTGCTTTGGTTTCACATACAGCCTATGGCCCACAGTTTCATCTTCACGTCTTTTTCCAATTACATTCCAGATTGCAATTTTTCCGTGGGTTTTTCGTTCCTTTGTAAGTAGGAGTTTGGAATTGGGTGAATCCAGATGTGACAGAAATGTGTTTAATTGCTCTTCACCATGCTGTCATACTATTAACGTAGCCAATAATATGGTTTCACGGTTACTCGCTCTAAGACTCACGGTTTTTTCCATAAAAAGTTCGCCACCATATCGGGCAACCCATCGCGGTAGATTCAATTTCATTCATAGAAATACGTTTATATCTGGTAAGAAAACCTTACTGATTAGCTGTAGAGTGTATTTGACCAGAACGTTCATTTACACGGAGACTATTTTGAAGCTACTGTCTTTGACCGGAACTATGATGTACGAGGGGACCACCTCAAAGCTTACTAGCATGTCTCCATGACTTAGCTATTCAGCTATTCAAGTGTTCGATAAAATTGAATGCTATTACCCAAGACGATATAGGAAGGTGACAGATATTCAAAACGGAAACAATTTCAAGTGAAGAAAACATAGAAATTCCACACATGAAAATTAATTCAATACAATCAAATAAAAAAATAATAGAAAAAGAGTATACCTTTCCAGGTCTTGAGATAAGGCCTTGGCAGTTCAATCTATACAATCACTCATCATCTCAAGGCTTTTATTATTGTCTACCACTGTTAGTCATTAAAACCTGCAGACCACGGCAAATAATATCGACAAATAACTCTGACACGATGTATATACAAACTATATTTGTCATCGTCAAATAATAGATTATTGTATTGATTCAGGCAAATTAGCTAAAATAAAAGAAAAAAATGCGAAGTTGCTGAAGTTTGACATGTATGTTCAAAAATACATATACTTTCAAGAATTGATGAGTCCCGAGCTGTAAAATTTGTGCTCGACCCCACTTATTGAAAAAAGTGGTTTAAAATAATTTTTCGCTAATATATTGAAATTTTTACATTGAATTATAGGTGAATTATTCAAAAACCAATAATTGCTTCATACACTTGATTTATTCAGTAATAATTGACGTTTAAAACATTGTTTATTGAAAAAAGTGTTTTTATTCGACATTTTTCATTATCTTCATTCTTCTAATCTTTTTCCCTCCTCTAGGTATGTTATGAAAAAAAAATTATTATTCATTTTACAGGTGAGCATTGGTCGTGAGTGGATAACAATATAATACCGACTGGACCATACCTTTTATCTAAAAAGCATCGGATTGAGCAGGATCATCCTCCTCAATAATATCTGCTGCATCAGTCTCCTCGTGTACGTCATCAGAACCGAAATTTTCATCATCCAGCTCATCGATACTTTTAAAACTGTACGCATTGAGACATTGCACTTTCTGGCAATTCCCGCACATTAAGGAGCTACATCTCACGTGGCAATCGATTGTACAGTTACAGGAAATCAGTTATGATATTATTTCCGGAGCTGGTGTGAAAAGTGTTGCCGTTGGTTGTAGAATGTTGAAATGAATGTTGAGCGGCTGCCTCTGAAGTCGGTGACAATAGTTCTAGCTTCAATTTCTGTTTTTGCAACGAGTTTTCGAATTGGCTAAATCTGTAACCATCCAGTGTGAGATTTTCAAGAGAAACAGGGTTTCACCGGCCCCTCTTACTTGCGGAGGTGTTGATCCGGGATCATTGAAAATTGTAACCACACTGTAGTAGATTGAAGATTATCAATTCACCTTTCTGGAATATTGTGAACGTGGTATCGCAGTCACTGGAATCATGAGCCAGAATAATTGTTTTTCGCATACTTTCGTGACTTTTCCAAATGTGTGACGAAAAAAAAATTTCTCTTTTAACTTTTCCTGTTCCTGGCTTCATGAGCATTATATCATTTTCTTCGAAAGTTAGGGCAATTATCAAAATTAGAAGATCTATATCCTCGCCAACAACAGACGTTCTTCCTGTATGCGACAAACATCTCATAAAGAGCTGATTTTTTTATTTTCCTCATCCCATTTGTTTCGTTGAAGAGCGGATACGGTGCAAGTTCATATTCGAAATATTCCAAAAAATCTTCGTCGTGCTTTCTGGCTAGGAGCATTCTTCGAAAAATAATTAATGGGTCGATTGTAACCACTTTACAGTAACTTTCACAGCTGAATTTATTGTTGCAAGGGACGAGACTGTGTTAGAATGTTTTAGTCCAAAATCCTCAAATGGCTTTCCAATAATCTCTCCCATGCACTGTCCGCCACTGACAACGTATTTTCTCATCGCCTATGATGTCAGAACTAAGTGACATTATTCTATCTGCCAATGCTTCACGAATAGCCTCTGCAACGAAACTGGCCCAAGCAGATGTTGTTAAACCCGTGCGGCCCATTGCACATATGGGGAGCGCAGAGGGGGGTTTATACCTGAGTTATAGGGTAGAACTCACTTTGTAGAGCTCGGGACACGTCGGAATCTCAGAGCAAAAATTTCTCTACAAGAATACGTATTTTTTAAGAACTTCGCATTTTTTTTTCATTTATTTCGCGTATTTTTTGCTATTTTGCCTGTTTCAAATACCTGATGTATCATAAATGTATCATATCGATATGATACATGTGAATCATATCGTTATGATTATATTGAATAGATGGGTTTTTCTTACTTTCATTCAAAAACAAATAACTTTAATCAAATCGATTAAAAGACTAATTTTTGTCAAATTGAGTAAACAAATAATTTCAATCACATTGGTAAGTCGAACAACTTCCATCAGATCGATTGAACGAATAATTTAAAAAACTCACTCAATTCACTTCTAATACAACAATTATGTTTACCGTTCTATCGGCTTTGCTTCAAAGGCATTGATTCCTTCAAATGGGTTCATTCACAGATAGCGCTCTTGGATTTTAAGAATGACGTTAATAAAAATAAATATATTGTTGTCTGTGCATCATTTCTCAAATAATGTGTAATGTTTTATGTTAAACACTGTGAAACGAGAAGTCTACGAATGTATAAAAGAAGAATAATTTTTGTCATTTACTTCTATAGGTACTCAACCCTGAAATGAATGGAAGTAATCAGTAAATATTGTATTCAATTCGATGCCGTTGGAATCTTGGCTATTAAAATAAACTACTTGATTCATTTGATGCATGGATTACTGCTGCAGACTGCTCAGAGAAATTCCAAAACTGTGAAAACAAAAACTCAATCTTAATTTGTTAAGACCCTCTGATATTTTCATTTCATTTTCCAAAAAACTTAAAAATTTTGAATAATTCATGTAATCAGTTCCAAATTGTATCGAAAATTATGATTTACGCAATAATGCCAAATCATCATACCAGGTGGAGATGAAGTTTATGTTGTGTAATTAGAAATGGGATGTATCACGGCAGTCAATCTATAAACTGATTATCTCCAATATCACCATGTTTTGTGAAGACACTCGAACCCAATTTGATTTCACCATATTCTATAGTTTTTATGATAGCTATTGATATTGGAAAAAATTCAATCCGTGCTGGTAGACTGTGATCGAGTGGAACTCGCAGTAGTAAACGTTTCGTCTGCTATTGCGGCCGGCATCGTCAGCGGTATTGGCTAGGACGAATGTTATACCTCAAAGTCTCGGTAACAACTGATTTCGAATTATAACCTTCGTCTTCGCAATCAACGCACATACCACTGACGATGCAGTAGCAGACGAAAAGTTTGGTATTACAAGTCACATTCGACCACGATCTATCAGCTCGGATTTTATTTTTTCTGATCGTGACTCCGGCCGTGAAAGCGTGTGTTCCTAAACTGATGATATTTTCCAATATTAATTTTATATTTAATGAAATAGCTTTTCAGCAAGTATTTTCCATACTAATCCATTTGTTTTATTAGTGAGAACTTTATTGATAAATATGGGATACCAAACATCCACCATGAATTCGTTGACTGAAATAACACTTACTCCAAAATATATCTGTGGTGGATAACACATTCCAACAGTTTCTTGTTCATAATTTCTTGGAGAACTGGTGATATTTCACCGTTTACATCATCCCCCATCCATTCGCTGTTCATTTCTTCAATAGCAAATTGCTTTATATTAACTAAAGAATCGTTAAGTATCTTGAACTGGGCGCAAATAACCATAATGAATCCTGAAAATAAAATATTAATTCAGTAACATAAGAAATCCGGATGAACACAAAAAAAAATTGAGAAGAGACCGAGAAATGTTGATATTTAAGCTGTTACTTCATATTCAATGCCGTTTTTTCTTTGAAGACAATTATGATTTTGATGAGTAAAGCTTTTACTGCTTTTTCAGAAAATGCTTTTGAATTTATGATATAATTTCTTCATGATGTGAACGTTTTTTAATATCAGGAAAATTTATTCGTAAATTATTTTTGGAATTCCCCAAAAGTTACAAAATATTTCCTTTTTATTGCATTTCTCAAGTGGCCAAAACTGTTATATATGCTGATGAATACAAAATACATAAAGAACTGTGAAAAGTAAATATAAAAGTGACTTCGGCAAAAATATATTTCAAAAAGTTGCAATAGTGAACACCATTCAAACCGAGCCGTGGAATAAGTGAAGTAAGTGACGATACAATGAGGAACGTAAATCTATATAAAAAAAATCTGTTTTTCCGTTAACCAGCTGTCACACCCCTACGAACGACAGCCCTCAGAAGTCGAAACTTTTGCGAGCTGAGGATTAACGAGGTCTTACCTTTTAGCGTGTGATTCCTAACATAGGTTGGACGATAGCAGGTGAAAATCGATCGTTCAGACTAGGGCTTGAACCAGCGACCAACACGGCGGTCGATTTGAGTGAGTGAACAAAGCACCTACGTCGAAACCAAATGGCTACCGGTTATCCAACTCAATTTTACGAAAGTTTTGAAAATTCAACAAATAAGTTTCATGAACTGATGTCACAAAAAGTCTGGTGCTTGGTGGATAGATAACTTTCCGACTTTAGAAGATTTCAAAGACTCCATTCAACATATCAACAAAGCTGTTACAGCCTCAATAAGATTACGCGTGCAACGCCTATTATATTCATATATCTGTCTGTTCTGTTTAAAATCTGTTTTTCCGTTAACCAGCTGTCGCACCCCTACGAACGACAACCCTCAGAAGTCGAAACTTGTGCGAGCTAAGGATCAAAAAGGTCTAACTTTTAACGTGTGATTCCTAACACGGGTTGGACGATAGCAAGTGAAGATCGATCGTTCAGACTAGGGCTTGAACCACCGACCAACACGGCAGTCAATTCGAGTGAGTGAACAAAGCACCCACGCCGAACCGCTTGGCTACCAACTGACCGATATAACTTGCATATTTGTATTATTTCCTGGACTCGGATGTCACGCAGGTAGCTATAGCTGCCTCGGTGGTGATTTTGATAGTTTTTTTTGTAAACACAAGATCTAATAACTGAAACTACAAATGTGCGGCTGGCTCCTGCTGGTGGCTCTGTGCATTTGTATTTCTTTCTTTTGGTAACCAAGTGTTACACTTGGCTACATCATACTGATAATGGGCCAAAAGCCCGAAATACGTGTCTATGGTTTTCTACTATCTTACGTAGTGAGGTTCTTGAGGAATTGTCTCTCAGCTGGGGTAACATTGGATTTTCGAACTTTTGCTCTTCTCAACGTGGTGGCGATATCAAAAGTCGAAACTTGTGCGAGCTAAGGATTAATGAGGTCTTTCCTTTTAACGTGTGATTACTTACACGGGTTGGACGATAGGAAGTGAAAATCGAGCGCCCGGCCTTGCGGTCGATTGAGTGAGTAGAACAAACCACTCTCCTCAAACAACCGGCTTCCGTCCGACCGTCACTGGATATATGTGATGATTTTCATAATTACTCAAGGAACAATGAATGACGACTTTACGGAAAATAGCTTAGGCGAAGCGCCAGGTTCGCCTGTCTATTTCCGTTGCCATCATCATCATATCGTCAGCGGTCAATCAAATTCTTCTTGATTATCTCTCTAGATCTTCAGGAGAGAGCCTAGATGAACAACGTACATAATTTTACACATCGTTATTTGTAGCAGGGGAGCACACGATGCAAAATGGGGATTTACTCGAGCGTCATAAAGACATATTAGGTTGCAAAGCGTAGATGATAAGAAGAAAAAAAATTATATAATATATACCTTTTCATATATCGAGCGCGTCAGATTTTCTAAGGGGGTGTTAAGTGCAACAAAAAAAGCTCTCATTCAATAATCAGACCATTCCGATCTGACGCAAACTCTTGGCCATTATTATAATGTGCAAAAAAATTCGCCATTTTGAAATACTCAAGCGCGTCTGATTAAGATATATATGGTTCATCTTTATGTTTTAGACGTGCTGTCTCATAATCTCACGATTATCTAGAGGGATTCGCTTAATCTGACAAAAACAATATTAAAAAAAAAGTTTTCATTCATTGAACTTAATTATTTGAAAAGCCCAGAAAATAACATGCAAATAAATAAGTGTATATTTTAAAAGTAGAATACTTGTATTCATAATTTACGCATTGAACATCTATCAATTAATTGATTAATTAATCATCTTCATCTTCATCACGAACGAGTCTCTGTGATCAGCTGTGATGGCGTCATGGCAACAGAATTCAGAGTGGGGACGGAGTGAGAGAGTAATAGATTGAGAAAAAGTGGAAACTCGGAGAGGCAAATATAGGTATCACACAGCTGCACGCATTAAACTTTATCGACCATTTTTTGTTATTTCGGCTTGCGAAAATCGTCAAATTATATATTTTTCGTTATCTTTGAATTATTTCCTTAAAAATAAAAAAAAATTAGCTACACTCGAGAATGTCGAAATGACGTTATTTTTTTACAACTTTGCTGCCCTCCCCTTTCTTTACGTCACTCACAAATTGTCAGATTTGTGAGTGACGCCTGATCCCTCACAGGCGGCCTTATATATGGGGCTCATATTTGGTGGAGATACTCAACCGGGTACAAGGTATCCCCCTGTATATTGATCTGCTGCGCTTTAGTAAATTCCAAAATCCCCGCTTGGGCTCCCCTATTATTGTACAAAATAGACTCATGCGAAGCATAGTGGACTACTGGTAGACATTGAGAATCGAAGCACTATGAAAATATCTTTCGATTCAAAACTTTCAACTATCAATAACAACCTGCTTTCTGAAGTTCATAAATGGATAAGAAACCTTTATTGTGGAGAGAAATTCTCACTTAAGACTCTGTGCCGGATTCTTATCAACTACAAAAATCCCCCCTATAACTAGCTTTTTTCGTCGGAATTACTTTCGCATTGCTCCAATGATACTTTTGTATCTGGAATCAATTATGATTGCTTTTTGGCTTTCGCCTCTCTCTCCTATTCCATTCATTTCTCATGTTTTTTCTCATAGTGAAATAATATATGTTTGCTGGTTTATCCTCGCACAGCGAGGAGAAACCAGCAAATCTGGAATAGCAGAGCATGTTTGGACCCATCAACATAATATTAAGTGGGCTCAAGCTGAAATCATCCACACTGGTTTAGTAGAAAATTCAAAGAAGCCGCGTATATGTTGTCCAACAACGCATTTAGTCAAGCTAGCGTAGAGATACGTAACATATGGAAACCTCTTATCAAGAATATTCTGGTTGTAGCTTGTATGTTATTTCCTTGTGATTTCAGTTTTTTGTTTTTATTTTCGGTTGATCTTTTATTTTTTTCAGGGATTTCAAATCAGTTTATATTATACTAGACAATGGAAGTCCGAACTGATGAAATACATCACGAAACATTTTCAGTTACTGAGAAGTAACGTCAAATATTTTTTCGTTCTGTGATAGAAGTTGATCCACCTACCTATTACTCATGTTAACAATACTTGAAAAATCAGTTGTAGTGAGAGTCAGTTATTATGAATACTTTTTCAGAATCCAAGAAAATTTAACCTAATTTGAATTGAAAGGGATATGCTTTTAAGGAAACATTACCACATTTTGTGTATACAGATGGAAAAGTAGAAAGCCAAAACATTTTTTCCTAAAATGAACTAACTCATTTTTTATTCTTCTGAAATTATTATATCTGACATAGCAGTATTCTCCCCAGAAAAAATGAAGTCGACGTATCACTAACTTTATTGCTTTTGAATATTTCAAAGTGATCACTTCTTATGGGACAGTAAATCGTTTCGTTACCTAATGCGTTACAGCGCCAATTTGTGTGGCTTTCCTTTCTCTCACGCATAGGTCAGCGGAAGGCAGGCTCTTCTCTCGTTGGACATACGCTCAGTGTTTAGTGTGCCATAGACATATACTGTTGACAGTATTATAAAAATTTAACCAGCAAGCACGTAATGTTTTTTGTTATGTAGAACTTGGTTAAACATCATTCTACTGATTTTGTGTACGTACATTATCATTTTATAATCCTACACAAGTAACTATTGGCTTATAGTAGCTATGATATATGTACATACACAAAATAATCAATAAAATATTTCATTACAAAATAATCTTTCCTTGCATCATAATATACATAAAATTCAAGTGATAACCTATGCTTTTCTGAAGTTGAACACAACTTCAATACTGTATAGTTCAACTTAGATGAGTTCAAGTTATCACTTCTGTGGTGCGTCCCGAGACGAACACATTTTCTTATATGTCTCATTTCTATCAAAGAATATTGAGGTCTTCAAATTAAGTTTTCCATTCTACTGAAGTTTGAAAATATCCTTATAGGACGAAACTGCAGTAACGTTAGTTACAAATAAAAGTGTTGAAAACATAAAAAGTTTCAATTCTCTTTTCTCCAAAAACAATAATTTTTTACGCTTTGAAAATTGCTATTGGTCAATGGGTTATTCATAATTTCTATATGTTTCTGTACATTTTTTCTAAAACCTACCTGCTATCAAACAATCGGCACTCAAATCAGTGAGGCCTCCGATGACTGTAGCTATTATTTCATAAACATAAACAATCTCGAAACTTGGTGAAGTATTGGTTTTGAAGGGAATCCATGCTGCAATCGGTAAAAAAACATCACCATCTTCCGTGAATGGATATATGGCCCAAAAGACACACGTGAATATACATCCACCATACATCAGCCCTGAGATGACTTTAGATGTTTTGATGTACTCTTTCAGAATCAGTAATTGCACGTCAGATTTTGGTTTGAATTCTTTTCTGTTGATAAGGTTTGCTAGTTTCAGGATCTTTTCTTGATGTTTGGCGATAGCATAAAATTTTGCTATAGAAACCAGATTAGATAAAGTGAGAAATGACGCGGTAACCGTTGCTTCTAAGTCGCCTAAACTGTTGAACAAATTCACAACTTCGCCGATGACGATTCCCATGAAGAAGAAACCTAGTCAATCAAGAATCACAATATAAAAATCATTGCAACTATAAGAAATACAGAATAATAGAAACATATCGAAATATATGATTTTTCATCTCATTCATTTTGAATATAAGATCTTTATTTTGAGGCTCGTTCTACAACAAAGGATATTTTGTATGGTACCAGCAAATTCGGGTGTTTGATATTGTCCAAGTTCAAAAAGGGATAGAATTACGTGGTAAAATACAATTTGCTACTAACAGAATTGGAGTTAATTCAACCGTTGAAGTATATCAACCTTACAGAAATTTCTTATTTTCATACGGAATTACCTGTTTATGTGACTGTTGAGGAATAAAGAGAATTCAGAAATGTACCCTCTCATCTGGATTACTGTAATAATAATGAAAGTTAATAGCAAATGAGAACCCTCAAATGCAAGAACTCGAAAAAACTAATGAATGGAAAATTCACTTCTCTATTTCTGTCGTATAAGTGTATTCGAATTTACAAATATGTCCAACTTCTAAAAAAGTTGCAGAAGTAGACAATAGTTGCATGCTTTGAAAAAAAAAATAGTTTGAAATACATAGTTGTGATGTACTGTTTGGAACCTTTGGTGTAGTAATGAATATTACTGGAGTTTTTTCCAATCACCAAATCGTTATTTTTACACCTCGACACGTGTTTCGATCACCAAGTGATCATCTTCAAGACGAAGATAAAACTAAAAATTACTGAAAACTAAAGCTACTTATACTAATCAGGTACATCATACAGGTAGGTAATCAGTAGTACCACCCTAAATTAATTTTACAATTGGCCTTTCTATTATTTTACAATATGTCCTTATGTGTGTTTAAATGTTACAGCTAAATAAAATTTCACAATATTGCCTATCTAAATATATTTACAATGTGTCTATTTGTAGTAATCAGTAAACCCAACAATATTATTTCAACAAGCTATATAGTATGCTATTTGGTATTGGTCCGTTATCGTTATTCATAACATTATTATGTTTACTTATTTCTATACTCTCATAGGCATCTAGTTGCCTGTTGTTGTTAACTTGTCTAACTAATCTTAAAGAACTGAAGTTGTTTGAATAATTGAATTGAATAAACTGATGTCGAATTTTCAGTTGTTAATAGTGCTGGTATAGTGATAAATAAATAGCGTCGATTGAACTGAACTTCATTATTCGACATACAAATAGCGACTCAACTCCTTCCTTCTCAAGGGACCAGGCCTGTCATTACATTTTAGACACTGTTGCCGGTTTTAACAAAAACATGTGAAAACAAATATACACAATTTTAAACATACTAACCCCTTTGAAGGGTACCTTCAAAAAAAAATATTCATAATAAAATTAACGTAACAGATAACAATACATTATATATCTATCTCATTTTGAATTGGTAATGGACATAAATGTCTAACAGCACGCACAATTGTTTTATTAGACACTTTGAGTTCTGCCACACGGGAAACTCCATCTTTTCCAGGGTAGAGACTGAGTATAAGCCCTAAAGACCGTTTACCCGGAGGTTGTAGATCGTTCCTAATCAGGACCAAGGTGCCTTCGTGAAGTGGGGTGGGTAATTTCTTCCATTTATATTGAGGATGCAATTGCGATATATATTCCTGTTTGAAACGAATCCAAAACTGCTGGTACATTTGCGTTAATATATCCAAACGAGATAGTCTTCCTGTTGAAGTTGTGGTTAAGTCAGCATCGGGAATGGAGGAAATAGGACGACCAATAAGAAAATGTGATGGAGTGATAGAAAGTAAATCATTGGGATCGGAAGAGTTTGCAAATAAAGGTCTTGAATTCAAGATACCCTCGACTTGAATTAATAGTGAATTGAACTCCTCATAAATAAGGTTTTTGTTAAGCATACATCGCTTTAAATGATGTTTCATACTCTTCACGGCTGCTTCTCATAGGCCACCAAAGTTAGGCGTATATGGAGGTATGAAATGCCATCTGATATTATTTTGATTTCCATAATCAATTAAAGAATTAATATTACCTTTAAGAAAGAAACCCATTTCTTTAAGTTCGTTTCGAGCACCATTGAAGGTGGTTCCATTGTCTGAGTAAATATCATTGGGTATTCCCCTTCGTGATGTGAAACGTTTAAGACAAGATAAAAAACATTCTGTTTTTAAATTGGAGACTAGTTCTAAATGAACTGCCTTAGTGCAGAAGCACACAAAAACACAAACATAACATTTCAATATTTTGGATCCACATCCTAGTTTATCTTTTAAGGAAAATGGTCCTGCAAAATCTAGACCAGTACACTGAAAAGGCAAGGACGGTTTCACACGAGTTTCTGGTAAACTTGCCATTGGACACTCAGCAAATTTTGGATTAAATTTGAAACAAGTTATACAATTTTTAACTGTTTTCTTTGCTAAGTTTCTACCCTTTAACGGCCAGTAAAATTGTCGCACTGAAGATAGAAGTAGCTGAGGCCCAGGATGTACTAAAATTTTGTGTTTGTGTTCAAAGATTAATTTAGTTGAAGGATGGCTGGATGATAGCAAGATAGGATGTTTTGAATTTGTATCTAATGAACTTGAGCGAAGTCTTCCACCTACTCTGAGTAAATTGTTTTCGTCAAGAAAGGGTGATAAACTACTGAGTTTATGTTTAGGTGGGAAACCCTTATTTGTTTTTAAATAAGATATTTCTTTGTGGAATGATTCTAATTGAGATAATTTCAATAATTGAAGAAATGCATAATTGATTTCTGAAAGAGTCAGTATTCAATACGTTCTATTTGAAGATAATTTTCGAGAATAGGACATAAATATAAGACAATATGCTGTAACGTTTTTCAATGTTTTAAGATCTGAAAATGTAAAAAATAGATCAAATGGTTCTTTGTTTGTATTAATTAGCACAGTTTGTATTTTCTTCAATTCTGGAAGTTTAATGTCTATAATATAATCCTGTGGATTATCATTAATTGAATTGTATAGAAGATCAGGTCCGTTCCACCACAGAAAGCATTTATTCAGGTTTTCAGGAAGAACTCCTCTCGATGCCAAATCTGCAGGGTTTTCTTTTGTATTTATGTAATGCCATTCATCAATATTGGTTAAATTCTGTAATTTGGACACACGGTTGGCTACAAATTGTTGTAAGCAGATTAGGATCTTTCCGGATCCAACACAATACTATTTGTGAATTAGTCCAATAAAAAATAGGTACCTTTATTGATATAGCTTTGACCACTTGTTCTGCTAGCTGGGCTCCCAGTAAGGCAGCGCATAATTCTAATCTTGGAATTGTGAGGGGTTTCAAAGGTGAAACTTTGCTTTTAGAACAAACTAAACGAGAAACGTAATTTCCGGCTGAATTTTTGCTTCGAAAATAAATGCAACTTGCATAAGCTTGTTGAGATGCATCACAAAAACAGTGAATGTCAATTATCGATTGGTTGTCACTTAAAGAACATCGAGGAATCTTCAAATTGTTAAGCTCATTTAGTTGATTGTAAAATTTGGACCATTGGAGAAATATATTTGGAGGAACATTTTCATCCCACGACTGTTTGAGAGCCCAAAGGTTCTGAATTATAATTTTTGCAATAATGATTACTGGAGCAAGAAGTCCTAACGGATCATAAATTTGGGCTATAATGGATAGTATTTGTCTTTTTGTAATGGAACTAGTTAAATGGATAGGGGAAATTTTGTAAGTCAGATTGTCTCTTTTATTATCAAGTTGAATGCCTAATGTTTTGCAACTTTCATAATCGCCGACAGTTAAAATTTCATTGGGTATGTCAATGCAAGGAATATTTTTTAAAATGTGTACGTCATTTGCACTCCATTTTCTAAGAATAAAATTTGCGGATCTCAAAATAGAAGATATGTCTTTGCATCTACCTTGCAACTCTTCTAAATCATTGGACCCGGTTAACAGGTCATCTACATAAAAATCGGACAGAATTGTTTTTGGAGCTATAGGATAGTTAGTTTGATTTTGTATAGCTGGTTGATTAAGGCATTTGATGGCTAAATATGGTGCGCTCGTGGTACCATAAGTGACTGTATTGAGTTGGTAAGTAGTAAGTGCTTCATTGGGAGTATCTCTCCAGAGAATTAGCTGAAGTGGTCTATGGTCCGGATGAACCCAAATTTGCCTATACAGACGGCATCTCCTCCGCTCTATCATTGTTGTGGAGTCGATAGGCTCGGTCTCATGTATTTTCATCCTGGATCCGCTTCACTCTCTCCCTCAACCAATTGATTCTTGCTCTCCCTATCGCTCTCTTATACCTATTCCTTTCCCTCCTGTGCTCTTCCATCCATCGCCTCCTCTCCTCTCCTCCACTCGCATTTTGTGTCTCCCCCCTTATTCTCCTTACACGCCTTCGTAGGCTTTCAAGCTCTACGCTCCACCATTCTCTCTCCGTATTCATAATATTTTCGCTCCTAGGTATAAATTTCATGCATGCTTTCTTGATTCTTTCCTGAAGCTGCAGAGCTTCTCTGTCGATGTCCTCTTTCGTTTCTAACCTCCCGAGCTGGTATCCGAGCATCATCTGTTCGACTCCAGCCCAGTCGGTTCCTCTAACATTCGCTACTAATGCTTTCCTCATCTTAGGTAACCCCATCAAGCAAAACTCAATCATCCTATGATCACTCATAGTTTCCTCCACGCACACTCTTCATTCATTTACCTGCACACTCTCACTGATGGTTAAATCAACCCAACTTTCACCCCTGTTACTGGAGAAAGTGGCCGGGCTTTCACAGTCATTCACTATCAAGTACCCCTTCTCCATCACCCATTCTAGCACATCTTCTCCCCTCTCATCCGTGGTGTTTCCACCCCATGCTACATTCTTCGGATTCACGTCTCCAACCAGAATCTTTTTCCCCTCCCATTCATCGAATATTCTCCTTATTGCATCCATTCTCACATTCCTCTTTCCACCTGGCTCGCCATACACATTCATAATCCTAATGTTACACCTCTCATTTCTTTTACAACTATGCCAATGCTTCTAGCATTCCTGAGGGCGAGACTATCGACGGTGGATCGGACCCAGGTTCGTACCTTAGTGCCCTCCCCACCATCGTATTCAACCCACCCTTCCCATGTCGGATCTCTAACCCAGGGTTCCTGAATACACACCACTGCAGCGTCACGCTCCTCGGCGGTCTTCCGCAGTAGTGTGGTAGCATCCCTCCCTTTTCCCACATTAATTTGCAGTACCCTGAACGTAGTTGGTACGCCTTCTCTGCATCTCCACCCTCCTCACATATACTGGGCACTTCGGATCTAGTGCCGAGTGCCTCCCTTCACTCGCTACCACTCCGACTCTTTTGCAGTTTACGCAACTGAGTCCTCTATCACCCCTACACTCTCGCCCTTCGTGCTGTCCTGCGCACTTGTTACATGCAGGTCCATGCCTTGGTAGTGTGCCCAAAGTGGCAACACTTAAAGACACCGCAACACTGTTGTGCTCTTCCACATAGATTTCTGCCAAGTCCAGGCTCAATACTCCCAAGGACATCATTTTCCGGAAGAGCTTAGCGTTCAGTTCTAGAATCACGTTCTCTCTCCATTCATTCCTACAATTTCTCCGCTTCCTCACCTCCATACTCTCTAGATCAGCTTCTGTTAGGTCATCACCCAACTCTGGGTTCTGACCCAACAGAAGTCTGATCAGCTCCTCATCCCCATATCCCTTTTCAACTCTCGTGAGTAGGACATGTGGATTTGGCCTCTGACCATCCTTTACCTTGATCCTACTTTCATCCCGGAGTATGTCCGTGATCCTTTTCCTACCTTCCTCCGTTTTTCCTTCAATTACCACCACTCCCGTCCGATTTCGGGTGACAGCCTACACATATGACAGGCACCCCTCCTGTCTAAATTTCTCGCTCACAATTCGTGCGGTCGGTATAGTTTCCTACTCGTTTGCCTTCATTACTACAATCTCTTCATCCAGAGGGGGTGGTGTTTTCCACCCTGTCCTCTCCTGCTTCGGTCTCTCCAACGCCATTGGGTAAGTTTTCTTTCCTCTATTTTTCCTTCTCCGTTTCTTTTTATTCTCCACCTCTCTGTATCCGGCATCTGTTTCCTCTCCTGCTGCCTCCATATCAGCATTAGTTTCCATCTCAGTAGTGGTTACCAATTCCGAAAGTCTCGTTTCTTCCACCCGTTGCCGTGACTTTCCGGTACTCATTTTATCCCTCGTGTCCTTCCTAGACTCCTGTTTCTTACCTGTGCCATTGATCTGCCTGTTAATATTCCCTGTCATATTTTTCATGATACGCCATTCTTCACTCATACCATTCATCCACCCTACTAATCCTTCCAGCCTGATAATCAAGGCTGTCACACTCTCCTTCTCTTTCTCCATCATTCTTACTTTCCTATCAAGCTCCTTAATCCTTCCCTCAAGCAAACCTTCTTTCGTTTCCAATGTTTTAAGCTTGTTACCAAGCTTTCCGCTTACCCTAAAAATTTGCTGCAAGCTGCCGCTTACAGCATTTTGCTCTTCTCTATTAAATTGTACCTTACCCCCAGAGAATCTGGTCGTGGCCTTCTGAATAGTCCCGACCATATCTCCGATCATGGCTGTCCACAAATCTGCGTCCGACTGTGAATTGCCTCCCCATTTAGACATACTCATAAATGATTTTTCTTGTGTCCCTTCTTCTTCATTTTCTGGTTCCTCATCACTCTCCCTAAACGTCCTGTTCAGCTCCTCTCTTAACTGTTCGATCGTCTCGTTTGATTTATTCAATATATCTTTCACCGCACCCTCCATGTTTGACTTAGCTTCTTGAAATACATTTTCAATCAGGTTTTTCCGCTTCTCCGGCGGTGTCCTCTCCAAAGATTCTCTTGGTTTAAATACAGTGTGACCCATTTAAAATGGAACCACCCCTGTAGAATGTGCATTTTTCAATCAATCTCAATTTTTTTTTATTGAAATATTAAGCATGAAAAACTGTATCTTGACACTAACTTTCACAATTTTAGTTTCATTTCCAAGGCACTCTATGGTTTTTTTTTGTTTGTCAAAACGGCAAAAGTTTATTAGGCAATTTTTGTTTTCAAATTTGACTACACCACTGGATTCGTAGTCGTTATAAATCAAAACTGTCAAATTTTCATTAAAAAATATTTGTTAACAACGAAGTTACAACAACTTCAATTTTGGAAACAAAGTATTTGTTTGTAATTTTTATTCAGATTATAGACATATTTGAGATCTGACAACACTGTCATCACCAAGTAGAACACCAGTGAATTTGTACAGTGAAAATCCGAAGTCAACA